TGCCTCCCACAGGGGGCAACTCCCATCCCTCATCAACTTTCCAGAAGCTTCCTAAAGCTCAGAGAGCTCTCCGAGACAGTGTGGTCCTCCAGAGAGGCCACAGCTTATCTCAGCCAGTGTTACTGGTCTGGCTTTTTCACTTTCCCACTGAAGAATAAATTTGAAGTCAAAGTGAATGTCCACTCAGGACCCTGGAGCCACTGTGGAGGCGGGTCCTGTGCACCAGCCTGAGGATGCCCTGCCCTGGTAAGGGCAGATCAGCTGGTCCCTGTGCCCTCATACCAGTGTGTCAGGTGAGGAGCCTCACTCAGCTCAGGCCTCTCAACAGCCACAGTCCAGCTTTCCCATGCCAGCATGCTTGCAGGTCAGAGTAGCAACCAGGCGTCTCAGTGTCAACAGGTTCACTGGGAGCAGCAGCCACACGATGGTGCTGCTTGTGGTCAGTGCTGCACACCTCCCCAGAAAGGGCGGGGAATGTGACCTCTTGGATCCTGCCTAGAGTTTGTCATCCTCTTCCTCTCCCAAGTGGACACAGGGTTATATGGGCTCCTGAAATCCCTCAGCAAGCTGCACTCTGCTTGTGAATTGTGGAGCTCTCTGCTCCATCTGTCCTGGCTCCATGGCCCAGTCCAGTCCTCACTGCAGGGGAGAGGGACAAGTTAGTGAAGGCTGTGGCTCTGGCCCATCATTAGGGATGGCATCTCGTGGAGACACCTACTGACCCCTTCAGAGGCACCCATGATGGACTTTGGCAAAGCTGCCAGCCCCGGGGCAGGGAGGAGGGGAAGGGGTTCCTCACCCCACCCTGCCCCCCAACATCAAAGACCAGAGAAAGGAGCCAGGCCTGTGTGGCTGAGCACCCACCTGCTCCATGTGACAGCACCCAGGAGAGCCACATCCTGCCATGGTCACCCTGACGACTCTAGGTTTCTCTGAGAAGTTGCCAGCCTCTAGTGTTTAACTGTAATGTTCCTTTTCCTGGGGAAAGTGTAGATCAGACTAATTAATGTGCATTGTTTGTTTACCCTCCTTTCATTTCTCTGAGACAAAATAATTAACCACAGAGCTTTAGAAACTGCTCATCAGTAGAGTCCCCTCTGTGTCTCCTGCTGCAGCAGCTTCTGTGTGTAGATGCGAGGACTGCATACAGGGCAAGGCCCATGATGGCACCTGGCATGGAGGCTGGTGAGGGGCTCTGAAATGGGGACCTAGTATACCAGTGAAGGACTTTAAATCATGGCAGGAAGGGCTGGGAGGCTTTCCACTGTCTCAGCTCAGAGGATCCCTGTTGTGGCCTCGCTGCCCCTTAGCCTCTGGGGCTGCCAGCCACCTCAGATCCCATCCTTAACTGAATGGGCACCCAAAGCATGCCCATGACCATCCCAGGAGAGGCAGAAAGACCTACCTGGCAGGGCTGGGTGGGCCAAGCCAGAAGGGTCCCTGGGGCCACTGTAGGAGTGAAGGGGACATAGGGCAGATGAAGAGGGACTCTCTCTCCCCACCCCCAAAAGCTCTGTCCCAGCTAACAGCAAATCCCAGCTTGATCAGTCAGTGTGGGAGTGAACCACCCGGAGGGGCAGAAGGTTGAAGAGTTTTCCTTGGGAATCCTGTGATAAAATGAGACCATGTCCCCCTCTGACCATAGCGGAGCTCCAGCACTGTGTGACACAGGCCAGTGCTATTTTGAGGGTAGCAGACAGACTGTCTCCTCCACAGCCCTTTCTCCTAAAGTATCTTCCAAGTCAGGCCCCCGCCTGCAGTCTGCACTGCTGCCCACCCCACCTCATGCTTAAGGCAGCAGGGTCCTCATTCCTCAGCCAGTCATTGTTCTTTCCCCCCACAAACGGGGGCACAGCCAGGACTCAGCCACAAACTGACAAGGGTTCCGAGGCACTCACAGCCCAGAGGGAGCCCCAAGAACAAGCAGCTTCAGCTTCCAGTAGTGACAGCACTGTGGAGGTAGGGGAGGAAAGTTGCTGTAGAGGTGGAGTGCAAAGGGCCTCAACGGAGACTGAGAGACCAACATTTGGGTTTGGGGCTGTGGCTATGACTGGGGAGGGAGACAGTGCCAGAGGGGGCAGGAGCTCAGTTAAGGAGGGTAACCAGGGCCAGGCTGGTAGTCTCAGGACACAGAGATGAGGAGGAAAGAGGGAAGGAGACAGGAGTGGATCTTCCCTAAGACTCTGGGGTGACATCCAGGTGGTCTCAGAAATTTGGCCTAGGACCTACAGGGACCACTGGTGTCTCAGGAGTTGTGGGAGGCTCGTCCCACCCTTCATTCCTCCGGCAGGAACAGGACCCGCAGGCTGTGTCTGTGAGCCTAGTGGATGTAGCAGGGACAGAGGTCCATGGGGACAGCTCCAAGTCCTCTCCCATGGAATCCTCCACACACCAGTGGCTGCAAGTTTGCTGATGGCGAGTCCTGCAACCCATGTGGGAGGGTGAGTGGGCTGTGGCTTCCACTCCAGGGTGGAGCCCTCTTGCAGCAGTGTCTTGCTGGGATCTTGAAGTAGAGGAAAGGAAAGAAGGGAAAAGAAAAAATATGAGAAAAGGAAAAACATGGAAACAAAGACTTTGCAAATAGGGAAGCGTGGAGGAGGTGAAGGGTGGGCAGGGGAACGGGGAAAAAAAATAAGAACTGAGATACACCATGTAAAGGTACAAGATCCCAATGAGGAATGTAACTGTATTGCATACCTAAAATGTACCAATAAACTACATAAAAAAAGAAAAGAAGGGACTAAGTGTGTCCTAAAGTCTCCCAAGCCAGGTGGCAGGCATGGGAGGACTCTGGACACCCCAGGCCCTCTGAGCACTGACCACAGAGTAAGATAGCCTGGGCCCCAGCTTTCACCAAGGCCCTGCACAGAGCCAGTGCACTCAGCTGTGATCTGCATAGACAACCTGCCACTCCAAACCGTGATGTTCCAGTGTTTTGCTTCAGTGATTTCCCGAGGGAAGGAAAAGCCTTGTGAAATGCATTGGTCAGAACCATGGCCACCAGCTTAAGGTTCATCTTTAGACTCGAAGCCCTGGTCCCCCATTTCCCCTTCGGCCCTGGTATGGTGGCCACAGGGATGCGCTTGGGACACTGACATGCCACATAAACACCACCCCCATGCACACCACGATGCTGGCTGGAAAACAGCTGCCTCCTATCTGGCCAAAAGCATTGCAGATCAACCTCAAATCGAAGCTCCATCTTTGGAGAGCCTGCCCGTGCCAGCCTGGGGGTCTTGAGGGCCTTTGTGCAGCTCCTTCTTTTCAGGAGCTCCTGGTGTCCTGGGGAGGTGGCCACTTCCCAAAGCATTTGTGATGCAGAATGGCAGAGACCAGGCCACTCTTGCAGGGAACAGGAGCCCACAGTGGAGGTATCTGCATACCACCTGGGCAAGTGGGAGACAGAGTCCTCTCTGGGGAGATGACTTCTGGCCTGAGTCTTAAGAGAAAGGGTGAATGAGGCAAGGGACAGAGGGACGGGGAGAACAAGACACCCTTGTCACAGTGAGTCAAGGGGCGCATCACAGGGGAGGGGTTACAGAGATAGGCAGGCCTGACTGAGGAGATGACCCTCCAGCCATCGTGTGGACAGTGGAGGTTGACAAAGTTGTTGAAGGGTGATGCAGTCCAGGTCCACAGAGGTCCCAGCAGGAACAGAGGGGACGGATGGGATATGGTGACTGAGATGATACCCAGGTCCCTGGCTTGGGTGACTAAGGATTCGGGAGGAGGAGGAAGAGAGAGTGTAGGGCCAGGGTGAATGATGGCAATGAGGGCTCAGACCTCCCAAGGTGGCAGGCAGATGCTGGGCTGGGTCAGTGAGCTGTTGAGCTGGAAGTGACACATCGGCTCATCTGCTAAGAGAGCGCAGGATAGTGCTTATGTGAGTTCCCTTCAGAATGAGTGCCCACGGCCCCTGGAAGCTGGGAAAACACACAGACTCTTGTCTTTGTTGACTGGACACTCAGCACAATAAATGCATAAATGTGCCTTGGAGCGCAGGCCTGCTCTGAGACCCACTGTGGCTCCAGCATAGCTTGGGACAGGAACCCAGAGCAGACGTAATCAGGTAGCTGTGGGCCTTGCCTGGGGCTGCATTGTGAAGCACAAGCAGGAAAGTGGTGAAAGTTTGAGTGAGGCATGAGCAGCCCCAGGGAGCTTCTCCAAAAGTCCCAAGGACTGTCAGGGTCCCTGAAATGGGTAACTCGTCCTCCGGCAGCTGGGAAGGTACAAGCTGTGCCTGGGTCCCTCTGACTCGGGGTCCTGTGGGTTCCCTGGGGTAAAGCACAGAGCTTGGTCACTGCTGTGGATAGGGCCACAGTCAGAACAGGGCTTTGTGGGGGTGGACTCCCCTCTCCCGGGCATGCCAGCCACACTGCCCTTTGCTCCAGGACGCTTTGGCCCTTTTCTCTGTCCTGACCTAGTTGCTGTTTACTGATATGTTTGCTGTGTTTACAGCTCCTTTGCCCCAGGGTCACTGTCCATCTTTTATTATTTATTTATTTTTGGTACCTGGATTTGAACCCAGAGCCTCTCACTGAGCTATATCCCCAGTCTGGGTAACCTAGAGATATTGCAATCCTCCTGCCTCAGCCTCCCAGAGTGCTGGGATTATAGGTACAATGCCTGGCCTGTCCACCCATTTTAAACACATCCCTGGCTTCTGAAGTCTTCAGGCTGTTCCTGGCCAATGTAGGTCCCGGCATCCTCTAGGATCCTCATCCTGTCCCCTTTCCACCCACAAAGTGGTGGCCCTCTGAAAACCTGGCCCATCTTCTAAGCAATTAGTTTTCAAGATCAAGGCAGTCAGTTAGGGACAGTCATGTCACCATGCTGTTCACTCCAGGAGAACAAACACAAACACAGGCAAATGGAGTGTGCTGGGAGCATCTCTGGGCCCCCAAACACCCCGCATGTGCCTACTGGCTCCAGCCTGGTCCTCAGAACAGTCCTGCTCCCCTAAAGATCAATAAAAGCCACCTTGCTTTCTGTCTCCACAGGTTCGTGGCAGGCCTTGGTGTCCCTCCCAGCATGGCCCACTGACACGAACCATGACCAGCTGGCTGACACCCGCCTCTAACCAGCCACACTCACATCTTGCCAGGAGGTGACCCCTCCTCCAGCCACCCCCCAACTTGCCCACCCTGCCCAGGAAAGTGCCGCGGCTGCCACGGACACCATGTAGTAGGGCCGGCTGCGGCGCCCAGTGAGCTGCGATGGTTTTGTACACAGCCCCCTTTCCTAATAGCTGTCTGTGCGCCCTGCACGCAGTGTCCTGGGCTCTCATCTTCCCATGTTACTGGCTGGTGGACAGGCTCACAGCCTCCTTCCTACCCACCACTTATGAGAAGCGACAGCGCGCGGACGACCCGTGCTACCTGCACCTGCTCTGCACTGCCTTCTTCACGCCCATCTACCTGGCCCTCCTCCTGGCCTCGCTGCCCTTTGCCTTTCTTGGGTTCCTCTTCTGGTCTCCCCTGCAGTCTGCCCGCCGGCCCTACATCTACTCACGGCTGGAGGACAAGAGCCCAGCCGGTGGGGCAGCCCTGCTTGGTGAATGGAAGGGTACAGGGGCTGGCAAAAGCTTCTGCTTCGCCACCGCCAATCTCTGTCTCCTCCCTGACTCACTGGCCAGGCTCAACAACGTCTTCAACACCCAAGCACGAGCCAAAGAGATCGGGCAGAGAATCCGCAATGGCGCTGCGCGTCCCCAGATCAAAATCTACATCGATTCACCCACGAACACCTCCATCAGTGCAGCTAGCTTCAGCAGCCTGGTGTCCCCACAAGGCAGTGATAGCGGGGCCAGGGCTGTCCCTGTGAGCATTAAGAGGACATCCTCTGTGGAATACAAGGGCGATGGCGGGCATCACCCCAGCGATGAGGCTGCCAATGGGTCTGCCCCTGGGGACCTGGCTGACAGTGGCAGCCTTGAGGATGCCTGCATTGTCCGCATCAGTGGCGAGGAGGGGGGGCGGCCACCTGAAGCTGAAGACCCTGCCACTGGGAACCAAGCCAGGAACGGGGCCAGCGGGGGCCCAAAGGGCCAGACACCCAACCACAATCAGCGGGATGGGGACTCTAGCAGCCTGGGCAGCCCTTCCGCCTCCAGGGAGTCCCTGGTGAAAGCTCGAGCCGGGCCGGACAGCAGTGGCAGTGGGGACCCGGGGGCCAACAACAAGCTCCTGTACAGGGCCTCGGTGGTGAAGAAGGCAGCCTCGCGCAGGAGGCGGCACCCTGATGAGGCCTTTGACCACGAGGTCTCAGCCTTCTTCCCTGCCAACCTGGACTTCCTGTGCCTGCAGGAGGTGTTTGATAAGCGGGCAGCTGCCAAGTTGAAAGAGCAGCTGCATGGCTACTTTGAGTACATCCTGTACGACGTTGGGGTCTATGGCTTCCACGGCTGCTGCAGTTTCAAGTGTCTCAACAGCGGCCTCTTCTTTGCAAGCCGCTACCCCATCATGGACGTGGCCTATCACTGTTACCCCAACGGTCGCGGCTCCGATGCCATGGCCTCTAAGGGAGCGCTGTTTCTCAAGGTAGGAGGGCTTGGCCTGACCTGTGGGCCACATGCCAGTGGGTCCCAAGCCACATGGGAGGTGGGCCACAGCTGTGGAGTCCTCCCTGTCCTGGAGGGCTGAGGTGGGAGGCAGACAAGGTCTTTCATGGAACTGAACCAGAGGCCCCCAGCTCAGAAACAAGGGAAATACAAACACTGGGACAAGAACCAAGGCCCCAGGCTCAGGCAGACCTCACAGGGCGATTGTGACCAGTTCTTCCGATCTCTGAGCTGCCATTTCCCAGTCTGTATAATGAGGGCAGGTGGGGTGAGAATCACGAAGCAAGCCTGGGAGGGGCCTCTGCTCCTGCAGTGTGTGGTGACAGTGGCCCTGGTGATGCCAGCAGTGACAGGGGAGGAAGAGAAGGAGGCAGAGACCACCAGTCCAGCACAAGAGCACAGGCAGAAAGACAGGGCCATGGCCACACCCAGCTTGCCGAGGCCACCAGCTCACTGGACAGCCCTCCCTCCTGGCTGTCAGCAGCTGCCACACCAGGCTCTCTGCCCACTAGCCCATGGCTTCGATTCCATAGTCACTAATTAAAGTGAATCATAATTATTTCTGCTAATTTGGATGCAATTGGAGGAGTTTTTAGACCATGGTAATTTGGTCATTACGCATTATCTTATCTGAGCCATAGATGTTCAGAGTATCGACTTTTTGTTCTCTATCCAAAAGCTGCTCTTGGTCCTTTGAGTTTTCTGAAGCATCCCTTGGCCAGCTGATACAGAACAGGGCTTCATGCCCCCAGAGGCAGCAGCTGCTGTGGGTGTGGGTTCTCGCCCTTTAAGGAGAGATGTGACAAAGTAGATGCTCAGCAGGGAGGGCCATGGCCCAGAGGCTAGGGCAGGTTTCCTTGCTTCTCACCTCCTGTCTCAAAAGCCACCACACTCAGCCTGTTCAGGAAAATGCTGGCACCTGCCAGGGTCGGGGCAGATTGTGTCCACGGAGCCTGCTGGAGCCAGGGCAGTCACCCATGGGCTCCAGCCCTGGACTCCCAGGTATTCAATGTCTCATGTGTGCCTCTGCCAGGCCACAGCTGAGGTGCCTGGATTTTTGTTTTGTTTTGTTTTTTGAGACAGGATCTTGCTATGGAGTTCAGGCTGGCCTTGAACTACGTAGCTCAGGCTGGCCTCAAACTCACAGCGATCCTCCTGCCCCAGCCTCCCGAGTGCTGGGATTAAAGGTATGCACCACCATGCCCGGCCTGCAGTGCCCAGCTCTTTATCCACAACCAGAGAAGCTGAAATTGCATCAACTTCTCTGACAAATAGATGCACCCTTCCTATTCTGGCATATGGATTATATGGTTCTGTCCCAGGCATACATTTTCGTCTCACAAGCCGGATAGACTTTCTGGAGAAGACGGGGATATGTTGTCAGGCTCAGGGTGGGAATGTGTGCCCTCTCCCCCCCCCTGTCAGTTTCAGATGGCTCTGAAGCCAGAGACCACCCCCAAGGCCACTTCTGTGCAGGCTGATCTACTTGTCCCCTCCTCACCTCCGCCTGCCGGGCACCTGGCCACTGTTCCCACCAAGGTCAACAAGCCTTGCTGGAACAGCCCCTCCTCTGCACCTCTGTCCTGAATGTTCCTTTTGTGTCCTTTTACCTCTTGGGTCTCAAGTTTGTCTGTAAATATGTTTAATTTGGTCCATGCCACTAAAAATATTTCTTGAATTGGCCAATGTTTTAAGGAAGATATTTCACATAAAACCCAGTTCGCACCCTCTCTCAACACCTCGGCAGATCTGGCAGTGCCTGCCATGTTTCACACAGCTGCAGGCAGCCAGACCTGGGGGTTGGGACAAGCCCACTTAGCCAGTTCTCACTTCCCGGTGACCCCACAGTCAGCCCTGCCCCTTTCCAGGAAGTGTGACCACCACCTATTTCTGCCCTTGCTGATGACCCTAAGCTTTGTCCCAGCCCAGATCTCTCCCTACAGGCCCAGCCCTGCATCTGGCTGTCCCCTGGACACATCCCAAACCAAGCTCAGCATCTGCCCTGGAGCCAAGAGCATCATCCTGAAGCCAAAAGGGCCACCTTGGCTGCTCCTTGTGCCCACCCTGCCTGTCCCAGAGACCCTTCATTTCACTTTCAGATAACCCTGGTTCTGCCCTCTATGTCCAATTCCACTGCCTTGGCTGAGGCTCCATCCCCATGTTGCCCTAACTGTGGTGGTGGCTGACTGTCCCCTGCCAGCCTGGCCTCCCTTCTCACCTAGGTCAGAATGCCTTTTCCATCCCCACTGCCTTGGGGGAAGCCCAGTGTCCCACCTGCTCTCTCACCACAACCTGAGCTCTGCCCCTGCCATGCCTCATCCCACATCCCACTGGTCACAGCCAGGTACCTAGCTGCCCTGTGGACTGGCTGTCCCAGCAGACATTGTCCTTGAGAGCGAAGCTATGTGCTGGGGGCACAAGGAAGAGCCCAGCACACCTCTGTTGACCTCCTGCCATGGAAGAGAGGAATCAGTGGGGCTTCAGAGGGTTAGGCCTAGCCCAAGAGGGGCGAAGACTGCAAGGAAGGGTGCTGCCAGCCGGCCCTTCTTTCATAGCCTCCCTTGTCCTGCCTGCCTTGCTAGTGTGCTCTGTGCTACTTCAGACCCTTTGGGGAGCTGTGACTTCTTGTGAAGGAAGGGACTAGAATCCTTTCTGCCTCCATCCAACAGCACTTTCTGGACCCTTTATATTGAGTCTTTGCCTAACAGGACTAAAAGGCACAACCCCTCGGTATGATTGTTTTTGTAAGAAAAACACAAGAGGGCCGGGGATTTAGCTCAGTGGCACAGCGCCTGCCTTGAAAGCGCAAGGTCCTGAGTTTGATCCCCGGTATCAAAAAAAAAAAAAAAAGAAAAACAAGACTCTGTGGCTATTAAGGACACAAGCCAGGAATCAGTAAGTCCCAGCAAATAACAAAGTGGGTCCTGGCGAGATCCAGGGGTGTGTGAGGCGGCATCTTCCCTCTGGTTGCCTTCTCCTGAGCACCAGGGCCGGTCCAATGCCTTTCTACAGGTGTCCCGTCCCTGGCCAGGACTCAGCACAGGGCAGGTGCTAAGTGCTAAGTGCTGAGTGAGGGAAAGGCTGACATTAAGATCAACAAATGGGTGGCTGGAGAGAAGCCAGCGAAGACACTGGCAGCTCAGAAAGGCTGTGGTGGCCAACAGATCTGGCACACTCCCACCTTGCCCATCTGAGCCACAAGTTGAGACACATGAGTTCACTTCCCTGGGCCTCAGTGTACTTGTCTGTAAGAACGGCAGGCTTTTAGTGTCCTCATGGTGGATATGGGGAAGCACAGAGCCAAAGTGCTCCCACTGAGGGGAACTTGTTGCCTAAGGAACACCGGGGCCATATTGGCATCATGTGCCCTTTCTGACTGCGGCACTTTTCCAATAGGCATATCAATGGCACATCAGTGGTGGGTGACTTCAGAGCTTTCCCGGGGCAGACATACAATTAGGCTGCAGTTTGGATCTGGGATATGGAGAAGTGAATGAAGATGTTATTTTAGGAAAAAAAACAAATTTAGGCCACAAAGCCCATTACCAAATACTGGGACATTTATACCACAAACACCAGAGAAGGGAAGATGGGCATCCAGGCTGGGTGAGGGAGAAGCTGTAAAAGCCAGGGGTCCATCCAGATGGAAAATAACAACTACTCAGCTTCAGGAGCAAAAGGAAAGATGGAGGCCAGCTGGGGCCCTGGGGCCTGTGACGTGGCTACCGTGGGACCCTCAGCCAATGACTGAACAGCAGCTAGACCTCTAAGCCCACCTCCCTGGAGAGTCTCTGGGTCTGGGATCTCAACATCACAAGAAATCCAGTCTAGAATGCACTAGCAAAGTTTGGGGAGGGTGGCTCAGGCTCATCACGGAGAATGAGGAGCTAAGAGAGGCCTCTGGGGACAGATACGCATGGTGTCCCTGGGGAGCAGCCCAGCAAAGGACGTCTCCAGTGGCCTCCCATGACTGTTCTGTGATCAGGGGGCCCAGGAGAGCCCTCAGGCAGCCAGGTGATGGCATGGAGGGCATCCCTCTGTGGCCACCCTTCACTGCCCCCAATCACAGGACTGACAAGGGCCCAAACTTGAGCTAGGGGTTACCATCCTGGGTCGGGATGCCTTGAGTACAATGTAACATACAACTGAGACATCCATGTTTATTAGCCAACATCTGGAGACAGCCTGCCAGGATCACCTGCAAGTTGGATGGGGGTTGGTGCAGTACTCCCCTCCTCCCACAACTCTGTCCTTGGTAAAGGAGACGAAGACAGAGATCCAGGGGCAGCAGAGGTGCGAGGGCATGATGAAGCCACTATGGAGGAAGGAGGCCTGGGTTTAGTGTGACGCAGGGGTCCAGAGACAGGGGACAGCTCAGAGCTCTCATCCCAAACTGAGGGACCCCAAGGGATCATGGTCTATAAAGCAGATGAAGTGACTTAGGACACAGCCAGATGGCCAGAGGCTGGGGACAGAGAAGATGACAGTGTCCAAGACCCCTCTCGGGAGGGAGGGGTGACCTTTGAGGCCAGATCCACACACAGGGAAGGAACATAGGGGAAGACCAGGTCTCGGGTGGCTGAGGAGGGAAAGAGCCACCAGGCGTGAATGGACAAGGAACTGGGGCTGTGTAGGTGAGCTCCTGGTCACCAGGAGTTGGAGACTCGGGAGGACCTGGCTGTGGAGTCTACACTTTCCCCCACCCACCTTGCACTGCTGGTGGAGGGTGTGCATTACCGTGAGCCAGTTTCCTTGCTGCATCCGGCCTGTCTCCACAGTCAGGTGTAACTCCCAGGAGCAGGACGTATTCTGTCTTCACCTGGGCCCGAGTCTACCGAGCAGGGCTTCAGAGGGTTCCCCTAAGAGCGTGAGTGGACGTGGCCAGTGTCCCAGTGGTGGCCGGTAGGTGGCGACACTGATGCCCAGCTTCGCCCCCAGGTGCAGGTGGGAAGCACACCTCAGGACCAAAGAATCGTTGGGTACATCGCCTGCACACATCTGCACGCCCTACCAGGTAGGTCACCGCAGCCTGCAGCTTCCCAACAGTGGGACTGGCGCCTGGGCCCTGGCACAGGCTTCATTTTCTGGTCTCTGCCCTGCAGAGGACAGCGCCATCCGCTGTGAGCAGCTGGACCTGCTTCAGGACTGGCTGGCTGATTTCCGAAAATCTACCTCCTCCTCCAGCACAGCCAACCCCGAGGAGCTGGTGGCGTTTGACGTCATCTGCGGAGATCTGAACTTTGACAATTGCTCCTCAGGTGAGGCCGCACTCCTCCCTTCGGACCTGGGTTCTGCGAGCTGCTTGGGCTCCAGTCGGGTTAGGCAGCTCGAAGAACTTCCTGCTCCTCAGGAGTGCATGTGTGGGAAGTTTAGCCAGACTATGAACGAAGTCTCTGCCCTCCAAGAAAGCTAGAGCAGAAGAGCAGACACTCTACCTTGAAAGCTCAGCGGTCCCTTGCTGGAGACAAAGTGATGCCCTAAAAAATGAACCCGTGTCGAGGGAGGCTGGGGCTTGGGAAACTTGGACTAAGGGAGAACTGGCTGATTTAGTGCTTACAGTGCACCAGGCAGGGTTTCTTCCTGCTGTTTCATTTAAATCTTTTAACAACACTATGAGCTAGGCATTGTATTTATCCACATGGTGTGGAAGAGGAAGCTGGGACTCAGAGAGGTTGAGTAACTCCTGAAGGTCACACAGCCAGTAAATGCTTGAATGGGAATCTGAACCCTGGGAATCATGCCTTAACTTTTAGACAGGTTATGGGCTCCAGTAATATTAAAAGTTCATCATTACTGCCAGACCTGGTAACCCACACCTGTAATCTCAGCATTCTGGGAGAGGGAGATCTCAGCATTCTCAGCAGAGGGAGGGGGATCAAGAGTTCAATCCTAACTTGGGGAATTAGTGATTTAGAGACCCTGTCTCAAGATTACAAAAAAAACTGGGAATGTAGTTCAGTGTGAAGGTCCTGGGCTGAAACACCAGTACTTTTTTTTTTTTAAGTGAAATTTGAAATACTGATTTAAATAACTGATTTTACAAGGATCTTCTGGGGGCTGGGCTGGCTCTAAGCCTCCTTGGCCTGCATCCTCTGTCACAGTCATGTGCCTGATGCTGCTGGGATACCTGAGTCAGGATAAGGACACAGCACATACAGGTAGAGGGTATCAGGAGGAGGAATCCCACCTGGTCGGGCCCCTCAGTGCCCTTCCCTCCAGTGCCACAGAAACGACCATCTGGCTCAATCAGTTGGCAGGAAAAACGGGAGCCTGGGGAGGACACCTCCCTCTCTCTGCCTTGTGGGGTGGCCCCTCCCTCAGGGCTGGATACCGGATTGTGAGGAGGGCAGGAATCCTGTCTGGGACAGCACAGGCCAGCCTCACACATTTGCCACAGGATCTGTGACCTTGAGCTCACTGTCCCCTAGAGCCCAAGAGGGACAGTGATCATTGTTCTCAGAGGGGAGGTAAAGCGGGGGGTGTGTTAGAGGGTACATTTTCAAGGACACCGAAACCAGTCACAGATGACCCCAGGACCACTTGTGGAAACAAAGAACCCACCCAGAGGCAAATATATAAGGGACAGGTGACAATCCATAGCACCTCCTTCCTCCCACAGATGACAAGCTGGAGCAGCAGCACTCCCTGTTTACACGTTACAAGGACCCCTGCCGCCTGGGGCCTGGGGAGGAGAAGCCGTGGGCCATCGGTGAGCTGGGCCCAGGAGGGGCTGGTGGGTGGCTGGGGTCCCTACAGGCTCCCTAAGGAGGGACCACCAGGACCTGCCCCCAAGGCCCCAGGCAGCTGCCCCAAGCCCATGGAGGCCACCTCCTGGCTGGGTCCTGCCTGCAATGATCACTCTTGCCCTCACCCTTAGGTACCCTGTTGGACACAAATGGCCTCTATGATGAGGATGTGTGCACCCCTGACAATCTGCAAAAGTAAGTACCAGGTGGGGACCCCATCCACGCCAGCTCCCAGTATGAAAGAAGTGCCAAGAACCTGACTCTTATGATAGAGAGATGCAAGCTGGGAAGGGATGCAAGAGCCAGCTCAGCTCAGGCCAGGCCAGTGAGGGCTTCCATGCAGTGGGAGCTGCTTCTCCAACTCTGACAGCCTCAGGCTCTCATGCAGGTGGAAGATGTCATAGACCTGGTGATGAGCTTGCAGTCTCAGAGCTACCTGCTGTCTCAAAGGGATGCTTCCTGATCCAGCAGCCAGTCTGGGCCATGTAAAGCCCTGCCAGTAGGGTGAAGGGAATCAGAACTTTCCACCACCAAGCCAAGAGCCAACCTCTGTAGCACAGTCAGAGGGGAGCTAACAGCTTGTGGAACCAATTAGGGAAATAAAATATGAACAGAGAGAACACAAGCTGATAGCTCTCAAAGTAGAGACAGTTCTATCCTGGCCAAGCTTCATTCCTGAACCCAGTGGCTTCCATAAAGGACACATTGAAGCCACACATAGTGCTGCAGACCTATCATCCTAGCATTCAGAAGGCTGAGACAGGAGGATCACCATGATGAGTTCAAGGCCAACCTGGGGTAGTCAGCTCAAGGCCAGCCAGAACTACAAAGTGAGACCCTGTATCAAAAAACCCAAAAAAACCCCATAAAGGATGCACTAGAGAGGCCAAAAGCAGAGCTGATTTATAATTCACAGCCTGAGACTGCAGAGCCTCAGGGATGGCTCCTTGCAGCTAATTTGAGCCAATTAATTAGATTACAGACTAAATTTGAAATATCATCCTATGCTGAGAAAATTATCTTTTTATGAGATGATGATTAAAAAATGACTATCAGTAACCCTCAGATCATTGATGCTGGAATTAATTACCAAAAGGCAAAGGACAGTAATGGATTATATCTCTGAGCCCTAACAATGTTCTGAATGTCATTAGTGTATTTATCTGAAGGCTGATAAAAACCTTGTAGAAACCTGTATTTGCCAGCCTAGCCTCTCCAGGAGCCTTTTCCATCTGTCTAGGCCTTGACTATCAGGTGCCCTGGGCAATGTTTCCCACCCCAGACCCCAGCCAGAGTTAGCCCAGATCTAAGCTGCCTGCCCTCCCTATAGAACTACAAATGGCACTATCCCAGTGAATTTCCTCAATCTGGGAAATGGGTCATCAGCTCATTCCCCAAAGAGCTTGGGGCCCCAGCAACCATTCTTGTTTCAAAGGAGAAAATGGAGCCTGGGAGGTTTAGTGACATGAGCTAGGCCACATCACTGCTTAAGGACAGACCCATGTAAAAGCAGAGTCCTCCCATGGGACCTGGGTTCCACCTGGCTCCTCAGTCCCCTGCTGATCTGAAAAAGTCATGGGGTGGGGCCCCAGGAGAGATGGATTCCTGAGGCTCCCGGAAAAAGCCGAGTCTCCCAAACAGGCTGCTTTGGCTCAGAGCAGAAGCTCCTTCTGGAGACAGGGTAGGGGTGGCTGGATCCCCACGCTGGTCACAGCCAGGACAGTGCCTTGACCAATGTCCAAGTTCACAAAGGGAAAATGAGGGCTGGCCAGCCCAAAGTGACGCAGGAGAGACTGAGAGACCTGGAGGGCTCCACTCAGCCCCCTACTCGCAGACTCTGGAGCACCTTCCCTCCAGCTCGAGCCTTTTGTGAGCTGAGATATAGGGGAGACAGATCTCACCTGGAGGTTTGGGGTGACCCACTCTCACTTGGGGAAGACCAGAGGTCCTCACATAGGACCTGCCAGGCCAGGGCTGGCAGAGGTAGGGGCAGGGGACTCACCCTGCTGCCTGTCTGGTGAACAGGGTCCTGGAAAGCGAGGAAGGCCGCCGGGAGTACCTGGCTTTCCCCACCAGCAAGAGCCCAGGAGGTGGCCAGAAGGGGCGGAAGGACCTGCTGAAAGGCAACGGCCGTCGAATTGATTACATGCTACATGCTGAGGAGGGCCTATGCCCTGACTGGAAGGCTGTGAGTCTGGGGACTGCCCTATAGCCCTCGACAGTACTGAGGCTCCCTCTGGACCCCACCCCCGAGATCACACCCTTAAAACGAAAGCCATGATTCCTTCAGACCTTTAGGCCCTGGAATCCAGCCCAGAGTCCCCATGCCTAGGACCCCCAGGCTGCCATCCCCTGCACCCAGGCCCCTCCTTTGCAGGTTACACTTTGGGTCTAACCAGAGTGCTTCTTCCCTCCCCCACAACCCAGGAGGTGGAAGAATACAGTTTTATCACCCAGCTATCCGGCCTGACTGACCACCTCCCTGTGGCCATGCGGCTGATGGTGTCTGCAGGGGAGGAGGAGGCGTAGCCCAGTCAAATCACCGGCATCCAGAGCAGCAGGCCTCTGCCAGCTCTTTGAACTGCAGCCCATCCTCAGGCTGTGTCCCCTCCATCAAGCGCCCAGTGCTGGGGGAGGGCAGGGGACAAGGAGGGAGCCACAGTCAGCCCCAGGGAGCCTGGAAGCAGTGCTGCTCTTCGACTCTGGGGCCTTTCCGAAGACAGAGATTCAGGCCGGCCCAGGAGCCCCTGGCTGCCTAACCAGTGCCATTCTTTCCAAACGTGATTTTCTACAGATCTACAGCACAACCTAGTTTGTAATCTGAGGATTAGTATGAGGACCCGGTTTATGTACTCTTTTTATCTCTTCTCAAGCTTCGTCCAGGGTTCCTTACTTTTGTCTGCTGCCAATGTTGTCTCGCATGCCTGTACCCTCGCATGCACGCTGCCCGCATGCCACGTGCCACACTGTAGCTACCCAGATCCCTTGCTCGGGCCTCAGCCAAGGCCAGACTCCAAACACAATCAGAACCAGCCAAAGAAGCACTTCCTGGGCTCACTTGCCACCCCTCCACCTCCAGCCCAGAAGGGGCAAAGTGGGGACATGAGGGCTGTCGTGATCAGTCAGCCCAGGGCTCTTCCCAGAGTCTTGCACTCAAGGGCGATTACGTCTTAAAAAGAAAACAAAAAGTTAAAACAAAATCACCCTTTAAAGGGCCTGCAAGTCACTAGGTAGAGCTTTGCTCTTCCCAAGACAGGGTCCCCTCCCCAGCTCAGGGGCCAGCTGGCTCTGACCACCCCCGGCAGCTCCTCTAGGAGACTTGGATCCGGGACATGGAGCCATAACCACAAATCCAAGAAGGCGGCATCACTTTTTTACAGGAAGGGGACTCACAACCTAAAGGGGTGGGGGTGGGGACTTCATTTGAAAATGACAGATTTGTACCTTCTTCTCTTCTATCCAAGCCAATGCATCCTCTTCCTTCTGCCAAGCCCCTTGCTGCCCTTCAGACACCTCTCTGGTTTGGGACCAATCCTTCCCCAGGGACTTCCCTCATCCATGTGCCGGCTGAGCTCAGGAACCACCTGCCTGCCCCTGGGTGGGGCTGTGACTCTGGCCTCCCATGCCACCCTCCTCAACTGCTACTCTAGCCAATACCATGGCTAGGGGGACCCTGGATGAAGAAACAAGGAAACAAGGTGCAGAGCACAGCCTGCCCCGCACCAGTGGGATGATCCTGCACCTGGCTGGGATGGCCAGGTCAATGCCACATTGTGCCTAGGCAGGGAGTGGTACTGGCTGGCATGCAGGCACACATAAGCCACCCTTCCACTGTGCAGCCAGAGCCAGCCCAGGGTTGGCTGGCCAGTGACCCACAGTGTCCCACCTGGCCCTAAGCCTGGGGTGGAGGCTCTGTAGCAGCACTGCCTCTGCCCACCTGCCTTCAGACAGTGCAGGCTGCTCCTCAGTAATATAGGGAGGCTTCTGTCTGTCTCTGGGTGCAGGTTCCAACAATCCCCACTGATCTCAAAGCACCATGTTCTTGTATCCAGCCTGGCTCCGAGCCAGCTTTGCCCGGCAAGGCTGGAGCCAGCACCAAGACCCTGGTATCAGGGCTGGTGCACTGAAGCTATGCCTTGTCATCCACTGAGCAGCAAGAGGGACAGGGAGAGGGGAAGAGCCAATGCAGCCAGCCAGACACCAGGCCATGTGCTGGGGGTCAACCCTGCAGCGTGGGCAGCTTGGGGCTAGGATGCACATGCACAGTTATCACTGGTCTGGCCTGGGGAGCACTCCCCCTACCCCACTATACCCCCAGGATCCAGAGCAGGGGTGGCCCTGCCTGGGCTCCCTGGCATGGCCCTCTCAAGGCTCGGGCAAGGATTTATGGAGGGTCCCCCACTCCCGGGAGCAGCAAGGACTCTGTTCCCACACAGGGCTCAACTAGGCAGGCCCAGCCCCCAGACCTAAGCTGCTGTGCACACAGGGAGAGCACCCAGGGCCAAGACCAGGGTCCCCACACCACTCCAGCAGCTTCTGTCCTGAGGGTGAGGCAGCACATGTGAAGTCAGGCCCACATGCTTCTCATCCTCCCAACTCCCAGGGCGGCCTTAGGCAAGTTATACCGCCCTATGCCTCAGTCACTTTCGCTCATCACATGGTCACCGCTGCCTAGTCAGGTCCTGGCACCCAGAGGGACAGCCTGCCTCCCTAGCTTCCCTCACACCTCCCTTAGAGCTGAGGCTACAACTACCACACTTTTCATCGTGGTGCACTTGTGGACTCCCAGGGCTGTGTACAACCAGGCTTTTCCATTTTGATTTTTAAAAAAGAAAGAAAAGAAAAAATTGCCAGGATTGAAGATTCTGTGGCATCTATGGCCTGGGAGGGGGCAGTCATAGAGGTCACTCAGATCCCAAACCAAGGCTCTTAACTGGCCCCAGGCCCACCAAAAGGGAAGCCACAAGGCAAGTGGATCAGCTTAGGAAGGAAACATTCATTTCCATTTATCCAAAACCACTTTGAGTTTTAGGTATATTAATCTTGATGCTTTTTAACTATTGTATTAACTTGCTGAGATTTAGAAATACTGTTTTAAAAAAAGAAAAAAAACCACTTTTTTAATTTCTTGTATTTTTTTCTGTATTTTATCCTCATGGGACATTAGGGGTTTTATATGGTAAGACACCTAAGGTTTTGGTAAAAACATTATCAAATATATATCCAGACAATTCTTCCCTAGAAGAAAAACAATCTTTACACATGATAAAATATTTTGAAAAAAGAGGTGGTTTTTTTCCTTTATGGTGCTGAAAGGAAGGATGGAGAATAAGGAGGAAATAAACTGTGAGGTTCAAGGCTGACGTTCTCTACTTATTTGAGCGACAAGCTGGGTTGGGCCCTGCTGACTGCAGACCATGGGGGTGGCTTCGGGGGCACAGCTCAAGTCTGCCCTGAAATGCTGGGACCCTGGGCCATTTGGCTTCTCTTACTGGGTATTTCTCCTTTCCTTAGAAACGGGGAGGCCAATAGCGAAGAGTATCTTGTGTATAGGATAAATAAGGCCTTGGGCTCCTAGGAAATCTGGCCGTCTCTACTGAAGCAGGACTAGAGTGATCCATACCATACCCCATCTGCCCAAGACTTCTGAGGGGGTGGCAGGGGACTTCTGATGAATATAAGGGGCCACGTGGGAAAGGCCTGCACCTGGCTCCATTTCCTGAAGGCCGGTTTCCCAGGGTTGCCCCTCAGGACTGTCTGCTTCTTCCCTGGTCTCTCAGTAGCCTGATGTCCAGGTCTTGGAGCTTTTTAGGCCACCTACTGGTGTGCAATGAGGTCAGACACCTAGACATTTATAAATATGGCAGGGGAAAGGGCTAGAACCCACTCCTCTCCTCATCTCCATCAAAGTCTTCAAGCCCCAGGACCTAGTCATGATTCACTGTCTCCATCCCCTTGCAGGTGCTCGTAGTGGAGCTGGGTGGACAGGGACCTAAAAGTTTCTAAGAAATAGGCAAGTGGCACTGCCTAGCTAAGCAGACAGCGCCACCTACCCACCCACATTAGCAAGAGCACTGTGCCTTTGTTCTCTTCTGGGTAGGACAGAAGACATCACTGTCTTGGAGCTTTCTGAGCTTCAGACCAGAAATGGGGATCTTCTTGGTCCCGCCGCAGCTCCAAATCAGTCACCAGCCCACACTGCCTACCACACCTGGAGCTGGGAGCCAGCAGCGCAAAGATGCAAAAATGGAAGGCTTCCTCTGTGGTGAGACCAAACAGGGTTCTGGAAGGAGACAGGTCCTTTCAGCCTTCCTTCCCCAAAAGCCACAACCCATTCAGAGCCGCAAACTCTAGATACTTTATTTCTCAACAAGGGATGGTCAGTTCCTGGTGTCTGCGAGCCTGAACTGCATGGTGACATCTCCTGAATGGGGGTGAAACTCCACAGCATAGCTCACTGCCCGAGGACTGCCCAGAAGCATTTTGGGATCCAGTGTGGGGCTGAGGAAGTACACAGCCTGCTTGCAGTGGGGGTTCCAGCAACAATCCCCCTGTAGGAGCAGCAAGAAGACAGTGAGGGTCCCTGGCACTTGGGCCACCTTCCCATAGCCCCCAGCCCAGGCAGCTCAGTGGGTAGAAGCTGCTTAGGGACCAGATGACTCAGGGCCATGAAGGAGTCAGCACCTGGCCCAAAGCACACAGGACAGAAATACCAGAGGACAGGGTGGTGCCAACTCTGGGGCTCGAATACACTTTCAACCTGGTACACACAGCACTACCTTGTCTTCTGCGGGCTCCAGGAGGCCAGTGCTGACTGTGCTGTCTGGCGTCAGGTGGTATTCCATCCACAGGACAGCTCCATGGCTCCTCCCCAGCCTGGGAGAGTGGGTTGGGCCAAATGGATATTCAAGGTGAGATGGTGGGCACAGCTGGGGATTTCCCGCTGCTTTCCTGAAACCTCTGGTCTTTACCATTCCCATCCTGCCCCACAGGGACCTCCTAACCCACCTAACTGCCATGCAAAGTAGGCTGAGCAAGAGCAACCACAGCAACCTATGGTTCCTTGCAGCCTGGCCAACTACCCAGGAACTGCCGGGCAGGGCCGCTTGGCTGCAGGGCCAGCCCCCCACCGCCCCCAAGATTGAGGGCTGCAGAGAAGAGCCTTGGCACTGAAGGCTGTTAGACCACTCCCAGATATGCTCAACAGCAGCTCAGGCAGTTGACAGTATCTGCCTGCCTGTACCACTGGTCTCCTGGTCTCAGAGCCCTAGCTCTTGGCTCATGGCGTCTGCCAGTCAGGAGGAGGTCCTGCTCTCTGTGAAGGGAGCTGGAGCAGGGTGGGGTCACCCATGCCTTGCAGTAAGCAGCCCTCATCACTCCTAACCTCCTTTAATTCCCAGAAGAGTTCAGGAAAAACTGTTCCAATGGGTAACCATAGTAACAAAGCTCACGATTCCTGGCAGCTGAGACCCAACAAGGGAGCCTCAGATAGGGGGACAAGCAAGGCCCACTCTGCCCGCCCCCACAGGCCCTGTGGCTGTGCAACTGCCACATACACAAGGGCAGGCAAAGATGAGACAAGGATTCATCATGGCCCAGAGCCAAGTGTCTCCCAAGCCAGCTGTGCTTGGCCACATGGGCAATAGACCATGCACCCTCACAGCATCTCCACTCACCTCCTCAGCTCCATGGTGCCCTCAGCACGCAAGGGCTGCTGGGGGACCAGCTGCCGAAAATCAAAGGTCAGGATCCGCTGGGGCTCAGAGAGGCTGCGGCAGGGGTACTCCCACAGTGGGTGTGGCTCCGCTTCCTTGCTCTCCCGGAAATCCAGGGCAGACTGAGAGGAGAAGGAGCTTTGGGGGTGTGCACCCCCCCCACCACACAGGCACACTCACCTCCATGACCAGAGTCCCTCAGGGAAAGTGCAGTCAGGTAGGACAGAATGCTCTCCCAGAATGATTCTGGCATCTGGTCATAGCAGCTGGCTTCTCTTTTCCCTGCCTCATGGCAAGTCACCACCTAAGGTTCACTTTTTCCTTTTTAAATGGGGGTGACAATGCATATTCTTGAGCTACTCTGAGGACCAAACACCCCCAGTGGTGAAACATCTGGTGCTTAGGATACTCACCCACCTACTGACACGACACCACAGCTATGAGCACCCTAAGAGAAGGCTCAGAGACTGGGGAGGTGACCTCATAAACAAGCCAGGCCGGGATCTGGGAAAGCACCGGTGTGCAGGTGGAAATGTTGGGGACAGGGGTGGGACAGAGAAGCTGCTTGGAAGAGGTAACGTCAGGCCAGGTCCTGAGGGTCAAAGAGGAGCAAGCAGGGAAGTGTTGAGGTGGGGTGTATACAGGAGTCAAGCAGGGACAGGAAGGGGCAGCACAGGGTGACTGTGCAGGGGACACAGCCAGATTTAGGATCTACACGTTTCCTTGAGCTCTGTGTGGAGGAAGACAGGAGACATCTCAGAGAGAAGAACCTAGGAAAGAGCCTGAGGAGTTTCCAGGGTGGCAGAGAGACCCAGAGCTTGTGTATCTGACATCTCAGCACAAAGATTTCTAGACCCAAGAACAGTCAATGGCCTGCTGTGGAGAAGATGAGATGTAAACAGGAAATATTCATGAGTTTTCTTTTTTACCTTAAAAAAATGTTTAGCTGAGAATGGTAGTGCAGACCTGTAATCCCAGCACTCAGAACGAGGAGGCAGGAGGATGCCTCTAGTTCAAGGCCAGCCTGTGCTACACAATAAGCCCCAGTCTCAAAAACAGTAATAACAACATAACAAAATGTTTAAGCCAGGTGTGGTGGTACACACCTGTAATCCCAGCACTCTGGGAGGCTGAAGCAGGAGAATTCCAAATTTAAACTCAGCCTGGGCAATTTAGGAAGGATCTGTCTCAAAATAAAAATTTAAAGGGGCAGGGGATTTAGCTCAGTGGCACTGCGCCTGCCTTGCAAGTGCAAGGACCTGAGTTTGATCCCCAGTACCAAAAAAATAATAATAAAATAACAGAAAATAAGGATAAACATCATCTCCACATGTGTGGCTACTATAGAAAGTTTGGACCTTAGCATGTAGTCATTTTGAATTTTTGTTTTTAAAATAAAGAATTCTATCATCC